GGAGCAGAGACTCCACCCACTAGATGTTTGCAGGGCACTAGCTTTCTACATCGAAAGAACAAAGCCGTTGAGAAAATCAGTCCAGCTGTTCGTGGGGGTGGCAGACAGAATGAAGGGCCTACCTGTGGTCCTCACAACACATCTCATCATGGATCATGTCTTGCATACGTGAGTGCTACAGCCTGGTGGGGGTTCCTGCACGCCTGATCACTGCACACTCCACCAGGGTGCAGGCCTCGTCAACAGCACTCCTGGCTCAGATCCCTACTCAGGAAATCTACAGGGTGGCGACGTGGTCCTCCATTCATGGTTTTACCACGCGTTATGCGATTACGCAACAGGCCAGAGACAATTCGGCCTTCAGATGAACAGTGCTCCAATCAGTGGACGACTCCACCCCCACCTCCTGAACTTGGGCTTGTGAGTCACCTGATTGGAATTGACGTGAACAAGCCCTCGAAGAAGAAAAAACGATTACTCACCTTCTCAAAACTAGAAAAGGAGTACTTGTGGCACCTTAGAGACTAACAAATTTATTTGAGCATAAGCTTTCGTGAGCTACAGCTCACTTCATCGGATGCATTCAGTGGAAAATACAGTGGGGAGATTCTTTTTGCGAATAGACTAACACAGCTGCTACTCTGAAATCTGTCATTATGCAAGGCACTGAATTTAGCCGTATGGAGTGGAAATCTATCAACTTCATGAAAAAACGCATACAAATACAGACAGACATCATCTTCCTTTCCAAATGCAAACAGATGGACATCATACCAAAAGGACTGAAGGTAAAAAAATCCATTACAATCTACATACCACACAGACAATGCTGACATGCTTGTGCCACACGCTCTCAAAGAAACTGTGGAACACCTGATTAACATCCTCTACAGTAAACAGGGAAAGATTAAGAATGAGCTCTCAAAACTGGATACTCTCATAAAAAAAACCAACCTTCCACACAAACTTCCTTGTGGCTGGACTTTACAAAAACTAGACAAGGCCTTTACAACACACACTTTACTTCTCTACAAAAGAAAAAGAACACTAAACTCGCTAAACTACTACATGCCACAAGGGGCCACAACAGTGGTTCCGTTAACCCACCCAGCAATATTGTTAATCTATCCAACTATACTCTTAGCCCAGCAGAAGAATCTGTCCTATCTTGGGGCCTCTCCTTCTGCCTCTCCACCCCCACGAACATGATACAGTTCTGTGGTGACTGAAAATCCTATTTTCGACGTCTCCGACTCAAGGAATATTTCCAAAACACCTCTGAACAATCTACTAACCCACAGAGATCTTCCTACCAAGACTACAAAAAGAAGGATTCTGGATGGACTCCTCCCGAAACAACAGACTGGACTTCTACATAGAGTGCTTCCGCCGATGTGCATGGGCTGAAATTGTGGAAAAGCAGCATTGCTTGCCCCATAACCACAGTCGTGCAGAACACAATGCCATCCACGGCCTCAGAAACAACTCTGACAACATAATCAAAAAGGCTGACAAAGGAGGTGCTGTCATCATCATGAATAGATGGGAATGTGAACAAGAGGCTGCTAGGCAGCTCTCCAACACCACTTTCTACAAGCCATTACCCTCTGATCCCACTGAGGGTTACCAAAAGAAACTACACCATTTGCTCAAGAAACTCCCTGAAAAAGCACAAGAACAAATCCGCACAGACACATCCCTGGAACCCCGACCTGGGGTATTCTATCTGCTACCCAAGATCCATAAACCTGGAAATCCTGGACGCCTCATCATCTCAGGCATTGGCACCCTGACAGCAGGATTGTCTGGCTATGTAGACTCCCTCCTCAGGCCCTACACTCCCAGCACTCCCAGCTATCTTCGAGACACCATTGACTTCCTGAGGAAATTACAATCCATTGGTGATCTTCCTGAAAACACCATCCTGGCCACTATGGATGTAGAAGCCCTCTACACCAACATTCCACACAAAGGTGGACGACAAGCCGTCAGGAACAGTATCCCCGATAATGTCACGGCAAACCTGGTGGCTGAACTTGGTGACTTTGTCCTCACCCGTAACTATTTCACATTTGGGGACAATGTATACCTTCAAATCAGTGGCACTGCTATGGGTACCCGCATGGCCCCACAGTATGCCAACATTTTTATGGCCAACTTAGAACAACGCTTCCTTAGCTATCGTCCCCTAATGCCCCTACTCTACTTGCGCTACATTAATCATAGAATCATAGAATATCAGGGTTGGAAGGGACCTCAGGAGGTCATCTAGTCCAACCCCCTGCTCAAAGCAGGACCAATCCCCAATTTTTGCCCCAGATCCCTAAATGGCCCCCTCAAGGATTGAACTCACAACCCTGGGTTTAGCAGGCCAATGCTCAAACCACTGAGCTATCCACTGAGCTTTCCCTCCCTCCCCCCCCTGCATATTGATGACATCTTCATCATCTTGACCCATGGAAAAGAAGCCCTTGAGGAATTCCACCATGATTTCAACAATTTCCATCCCACCATCAACCTCAGCCTGGACCAGTTCACACAAGAGAGCCACTTCCTGGACACTATGATGCTAATAAGCGATGGTCACATAAATACCACCCTATACCGGAAACCTACTGACCGCTATTCCTATCTACATGCCTCCAGCTTTCACCCTGACCACACCACACGATCCATTGTCTACAGCCAAGCTCTACGATACAACCGCATTTGCTCCAACCCCTCACACAAACACCTACAAGAGCTCTATCAAGCATTCTTACAACTAAAATACCCACCTGCTGAAGTGAAGAAACAGATTGACAGAGCCAGAAGAGTACCCAGAAGTCACCTACTACAGGACAGGCCCAACAAAGAAAATAACAGAACGCCACTAGCCATCACCTTCAGCCCCCAACTAAAACCTCTCCAACGCATCATCAAGGATCTACAACCAATCCTGAAGGACGACGCATCACTCTCACAGATCTTGGGAGACAGGCCAGTCCTTGCTTACAGACAGCCCCCCAACCTGAAGCAAATACTCACCAGCAACCACACACCACACAACAGAACCACTAACCCAGGAACCTATCCTTGCAACAAAGCCTGTTGCCAACTGTATCCACATATCTATTGAGGGGACACCATCAGAGGGCCTAATCACATCAGCCATACTATCAAAGGCTCGTTCACCTGCACATCTACCAATGTGATATATGCCATCGTGTGCCAGCAATGCCCCTCTGCCATGTACATTGGTCAAACTGGACAGTCTCTACGTAAAAGAATAAATGGACACAAATCAGACGTCAAGAATTATAACATTCAAAAACCAGTTGGAGAACACTTCAATCTCTTTGGTCACTCGATTACAGACCTAAAAGTTGCAATTCTTCAACAAGAAAACTTCAAAAACAGACTACAACAAGAGACTGCTGAATTGGAATTAATTTGCAAACTGTATACAATTAATTTAGGCTTGACTAGAGACTGGGAGTGGATGGGTCTTTTCACAAAGTAAAACCATTTCCTCATGTTTATTCCTGCCCTCCACCCCCCACTGTTCCTCAGACATTCTTGTCAACTGCTGGAAATGGCCCACCTTGATTATCACTACAAAAGGTTTTTTTTCCCACTCTCCTGCTGGTAATAGTTCACCTTAAGTGATCACTCTCTTGTTACAATGTGTATGGTAACACCCATTGTTTCATGTTCTCTATGTATATAAATCTCCCCACTGTATTTTCCACTGAATGCATCCGATGGAGTGAGCTGTAGCTCATGAAAGCTTATGCTCAAATAAATTGGTTAGTCTCTAAGGTGCCACTAGTACTCCTTTTCTTTTTGTGAATACAGACTAACACAGCTGCTACTCTGAAACTTCTCATAACTGTTCTTTGACGTGTTGTTCGTGTCCAAGACCCACCCTCCTACCCCTCTGTCGGAGTAGCTGGCAAGAAGGAACTGAGGGGGTATAGGGTCAGCAGGGCTCTGCATTGGACGCCATGAAGGTGTCACTCCAGGGGGCGCCCTGGCTGACCCTACGGTTGCTGCTATGGGGAAAAACCTTCTGGCTACTGTGCACGTGCACACACCTGATTGAAATGGACATGAACAACACATCTCGAAGAACAACAGTTAGGAGAAGGTGAGTAACCATTTTTTCTATGTGGCGGCTCCTGCTTTGGCTGAGCAAATACTGCAGAATAAGGCGTGAGGAGTTTGCAATGCTCACAACAACAGTGTGCAGCTGAGCGGGGTCCCTGCTTGCCGTGCTATGGCATCTGGATGGGTAAGCCAAGCTTAGAAAAAAAGGCACGAAAAAGGCTTGGTTTCTTTGCCGTTGATTTCAGGGAGGGAGGGAAGTGCATCAGGAGAGGCAAATGCCATGTTTCCATAACCACCTGTGCAAATGTTTTGGTCCCATGAGGCATTGCAAGACTAACCCAACGCTCCCTTTGGCTCCATACACTGTGGGATAGCTACCCAGAGTGCACCGCTGTGAGTGTCGATGCAAGCCCTGCTAGTGAGGCTATGCATAGTGGGGACATGCAAAATCAAGTTGCTTAAATCAGAGCCTCAATGTCGATTTAATTAAAATTGACCTAATTCTGTAGTGTAGTCATACCCTAAGATAGGAGCACATTCTCTTGCAAACCAAGAAACCAAGCACTACTCAAAGTGGCAGTTTCTTTAAGTGTTCAATTGAGTAAGTTCCAAAACAGCCAAAAACTAAGTTCAGGCTAAATTCAGCCCTGCAGTAATTCACTGACAAGATAGTTTTTGCCTATTTTGTCTGAATGGAAGAGGTGAGGAGAGACTAGTAAGCAGAGGGAAGAGAATGATTTGGTTGCACAGATAGCGTACAGATTAATCACCAGTACATTTGACTCTGAAAAAGTTATCTAGTTTTATGGGACAAATGGTAATCTTCCATGCGTTGCACATATTTAAAAGTTGCTGTTATCAGTGGAACAGTAACAAATCCTGTATGCTTACAGAACATGCACCAGCCAAAAGAATTTAAACTGCATTTATTCTCTATATTCTATGCACACTACAAATCGTATATATAATATAAAATAGATTCTCCCCTTTAAGAAAATTTGGTTACCTGATATTTGACAAAAATATAGTATTAAGATTTGCTTTGAAAATACAAACTTCATAAAATATTAAGTAAAAAACTTCCAGCGGTGGTTGGGTAATTTATATGGTAAGCATAAGATGGAGAACAATTCCTATAGATCTGCAATGGACCTAAGTGGGGAAATTCTTATATGATATTCCTCAAAATGTAATGAAAAACAGTTAATGACATAGGTCTAACATGGAAAAAAAGAGGGCTCATTTCTCTGAACTATCAGGTTCAGCATTAAAAGGCCTACTCTTTGAGTGTGATGAGTAGCTCTGCAACTCCCACTCAAGTCCATAGGAGTTGTTGGTGCTTGGCATCCCAAGATCATAGCCCACATCTCTAGCTGCTGTGTTTGGTAAAAGTCATACAAGAATAAATGCAATTTGGAACACTGCAAACTATTGTAGATGTTCATGTAAAACAATGAGTGAAGCAGTTGCTCTAAGTAACAGTGCAGCATTTTCAAATATTTGACCATTTCTCTGAAATATTATGAAATATCAATATAGTGTTAGATTTTGAACATTAATTCTAAAATTTAAGATTTTTTTAATCTATGAAAAGGCAGTTTTCAATTTATGCTATGTTTTAATAAACTCAAATTTTAGAACATTTGATAGAAGTACTTGAGGATCTTAGATAGTCCTTTGCTAATCTTAAACACACACCCTTTACCAACCACAGTAGTATCCACATTAAACTGCAAAACATTTATTCAAATGAATGTACACTGTAAAAAAAAAAAAAAAAAAGTAAAAGTATGACATGTTTTAATAAATCTGTAGATGCATAGAAGTGGCTCCATCCTTCCATTTGTTAACGTGGTCTGAAATAACAGTTCTGCAGAGTGGACATGTTTTCTCTCTATTGAACCATAAAGAGATGCATTCTTCACAAAATATGTGCTGTAATGAAAAGAATGACAAGTACTTGATGTTTTTTTAACTGCAAGAGCACAAAAGATCTAATATTTATTACAATCTGTTTTTCAAATCAATTTAGAATATTAAAAATCTAGTTACTCTTCTAATTAATGGGTCTGCTAAACTATTCTACTTACATAATTGCATATAAAACCAAGCTAAAAAAATTAAAATTGCAAACTCAAGCATTCAGATCTTAGGAAATGCCAGAAGTAAGGTTACCTGTGCAACGCTGATCAGCCCCTTTATGCGTAAGTATTATGATAGTATTTAATTACTTGATCACATACTATTTTTTGCAGAGCACCCTTGCCTCATTCAGTGCACGGAACAGATGGTGTGCACTTCATAAGCAGCCATTCAGTATTTTGTTTTCTTGTTTGATGTGTGGCCCTATGCCTTATTTCCTGCACACTATTTGAACCGGGCTCTGAAAACAGAATTATTAACTTTCTCATGGGCTTTTCTACATCACAGAGGGATTAAAGTATGAGGTATCCACTAATCTAGGGTGCCCAATTTGAGACACGCAGGACCTGATCTTTAAGAGTCCTTCGCATGATACAGCACTTTGTATATTCAAAGCAAAGCTCTGTGGTACAGAATTTAACTGTTTTACCCATGAGCCCATTGTTTTTATTCCTGCAATCCCCTGCCTCAGTCGCTACACATCTTCTAACTTCTGCAACAAGTGACGCAGAATCTACAGACAAGTTTTGTTTTGTTTTTTTAAATACACCCTAATTCATCCCCAGAGCAGGTGCATCCTGTGCGCCGAATGAGGCAGAGATCCTGTGGAAAAAAATAGTATGTGATTGCATAATTAAACAGTACCACAATGCTTACACACAGTGGGCGGGGGGGGGCCACATCACGGTTGCACAGATGGCATTTCTGAGCAGTGAACCTTTGACTTTGCAACATTAATAGTGTGCTTTAATGTAGTATTTTTCTGGTGTGTTACTTAAAGCAATCTGAAAAAAACCCAAATTTCCTCATGTAGCATCATAATGACACCTCCATGGTTCATCAGCAGTTCTAAAACCTTTAGGGTCCACCTCACAGACCTCTGCAAATTAGAGTTAAAGGAGTAAATGATAGCAATACTAGCTTGTCTTCCTCGAGATGAACCAGCACTGGAGGCAATCAAACACACCCTGACACAAGAGGAATGGTGACTCCTGGGTTCCATTCCTGGCTTTGGAGGAGTGCCTAGTGGGCACAAACTTCTGCCCATTCTCCCACCAAGTGTGGCCCCTTCTGACCTATCTGCTCCTCTTGGTCCCAGTGCCTGTCCACTCCTCAATACTGGCTCCTCACCCAGTTCTGGTCTGGCTACCTAGCCCTAGACTCCTTTTCTCAGGCTTTTCACCTTAGGCCCACTCTCCTTGTCCAGCCATTCCCAGCTCCTTCTTACCCTAGTTCCTAATCTAATCTGTGTCTCCCTGCATACACATTGCTCATCTGCACTACCTTCCAGTCCCAATCTTAGTGTCCCTCCACTCTTTGGCTCAAACTGTCCCAGTTCTGACTCCCACACTCTGGATCCTCAGATTTGTCTCCTACTCTCCTCTTTTTCCTGGCCCCATTGGTTCAGTTCCAGTCTCCCCCTACCCCAGCTCCCAGTCCCAGTTTCGCTCTCCCCCTGCCAACCTCCAGTCCCAATCTATCCTCCCACTCTAACTCCATTCTCCTCTATTCCCCACCCCTATGCTCCTTGTGCCAATCTCTGCCTCTTGCAGGTCAAGCTCTTATCCCACCCCCCTGCTTTCAAATTAGGTGGTTTCATCCTTCCTCTTGCCTGGACCCAGAAGGGGGGGTCACTGAGAGCACAGGAAAGACAGGCTCCCTGCACTCAGTTCAGGTGCCCAGACCCAGACACAGCCCTGGCTGCAGCAGCCCCGAGTTGCAATTGCAGGAAAAAGTCCTGAGCCCTGGGCAGATTTTCACAGGGAGAGCAACAGGTACATACATCCCTGTCACAAAGGCAACCCCCTGATAAATTTAGAGTTTCTGCTCCAAAGCACAAGGGAGCTAGACAGCCGCTAAAAGAAAAGTTCACCAGAATTTTTTTTAACAAATGTATTTTTCCCTAGCCTCATTCTCAGAAGGGGCTAGACTGTTTTGGCTGAAATTTTCAAAAACAAACGAACAAACAAAAATCAGCCTGAAGCAGACACCTAACATGGAAAATTTCATCCCAAATGGTTAAAGTTTTGCAAGTTAAAAGCAACTGAAAACAGGGTCGTATAATGGGAAATGTTGGGCAATCTTAACAATAGACTGTGATACCAACCCTACCTGTAGCAACAGCAATTACTTTTAAATAAATAAATAAAAACTTTGCCAAGCGTCAGCAGTATGAAGACTTGCAAGGATTCTAGAAGTAAATGGACAGGAGTGAAGTACTGCATAGACAGTGCAATCAAGTGAAAACAAGTTGATATGCTTTTTCTACCCCAAGTGTATAGCGTCTTCAAATCTCCTCAGAAACATAGGAATTGCCATATTAAATCAGACTCATGGTCCAGCTAGTCCAGTATGTTGTTTCTGACTACAGTCAGCACTATATTCTTTAGGGAAAGGTGGAAAAAAAACCCTCCTAATCCATAGTAGTTAGGTATTTCTTTAGTCTTTGAGACATGAAATTTAAACTCTTCCAAAATTTGTTCACATCAACACTGTATATTCTTTTATCCATATAAGTGTCCAATCCCTTGTTAAATACTTGCTAGTATTAAACTGTTCCCATGCAATATAGTACTGAAAGCTGCTGTCTTTAGCACATAATATAAAATTTGAAACATTTAAAAAAAAGTTGCAGGCAAATATACACAAGCTAGCGAGACTTACAATACTCTTCCATCAAAAGGGAGTTTCCCATTCACAAGCATCTACAAGTTTTTTCCATAAACCTGTTGCTACTTTCCAACTGACACTGTCAACATCAGTTTGATTCACAAAGTTTCAGAACAGAAGCCTCCTCCCCACATTGTGATTCTCGAATTCAAAATCTCTTTAGAATTACCTGGCAGATTAGAAGAATAGGCTTTTGAAATTCAGCTTGGCATATTGAACAAATATCATCTGCTTCAGAACACTGTCTCTTGCTAGCTGTCACCCCATAGTGCTGTTAAAAAAAAGAGATTTTTGCAGCAGATGTTAAGATCCAGAAAAGGATAAGGAAGACTGAAAGGATGTGGTTAGAGAGGAAACTAGAAAATCCCTGGGGCAACAGGATGTTAGGTGTTTCAATCCTTAGGATGCTATATTGACACATACATGCTCCAGGGGAAGGTGGTATTTGGGTATAATCTATTGAGGATGCTATGTGGGGACTTTGAAAGTAATTTGCTACAATGGTGGCCTTCCTGCAGCAAAGTTCTGTTATGAGCTGATACACATTGACCAGAATGAAAACACATCACTTACTGTTAAGAGAGTATTGCTTACACAGACTGTGTAAGGTATTTTAGCATTAATCTAATTAAATGTCAAAAATCCTCCTATATATTCTGGTACATGCACAGCAGGCTCTAGATTAAATTACAGTACATTTTACCAACCACCTGCTATTCTAGAAAAAGAATAATTTTTTATTCTGAATGGAATATCTAGTTACTCTTCAGTTATTTTGCCAAGATCTGGGTCTTACTCTTGTATATTTCAGTTAGTTGCTAATGGGTAAAGGTTTGCTACTTTGCTCTTGCAGATGTGAGTCAAACAAATATTTTGCCTAGTTTTAAAATATATTCTTTACATCATACTTTATTTACATGGTATTCAAATAGTTTACCTCAAGATGCTGCTTACAATAAAAAAACTGATCACTTTTAAAGTGACTTCAGGTCGGCCCATTATTGTGAAGCTGAGAAATTAAATTTTACAGTGCAAGTAACTGTAAGAAGGGAACAAACAGTGCGATTACTTTGAAAGTTGAACTCCATGTAACTAAAAGAACATAATGTGATCAGCTAGTACACAGGAAAAAGCTATCTTCAAGAAGAATTATTTTTGTGGAAGCCACATTTGTCACTTTGTTGTTACAGAGAATCCAATACTCACTGGTCGTGTACAAAATATACGCAAAACCTTTCTAAAGTTTCTCAGATGTCCAAAAAGGCTCAAAAGCTGAAATTGAGAAAAGAAAAACAAAATTATGCTTAATATTTATTTCCAAGAGCTAGATTTTCAAACTTTGTGCAGGTTTTGAAGTGAAGAGCCTCAGTGCTAAAATTCCATGCAACGCTTTGCACATTTGGCCTTCAATATTTTACTTTTAGTCTGGTAATGAAACAATTATAGGTGGGACTGGTAGCTCTACTTATTACTGAGTTGCCCAACACTTCCCCTTTTTAAAGCCATGCTTTCGGTTGCTTATAAACTTTGCCAAATTTTAACTGTTAAGTCTGAAATTTTCCATGCTGGGTGTCTGCCTCTCGTGCAAAATTTCAACCAAAAATGGTTCAGCTGTTCCAAAAATGAGACTAGGGTAAAATATATTGTTTTGCCCATGTTACAAAAATTCTGGTAACCTTTTCTTTGAGATTCTCTCGCACCCCCATGTTTTGGAGGAGGAACTTGCAATTTGGCCGCGAAATGTCTTTGTGTCAGGGATGTGCCTTCTGCCATCCCCATGAAAATTTATTCATATTTGGCCAAATTATATGCCTTTAAAAATTATAGTTCATGTATGCTTCAGAGAAGTTCAGAGACTTCTTAGATTTCAGCAGCTAATATCTCCAGAGAGTCTGTCCTCACTGGAAAAAAATAGTAAGAGACCATGTAATTAAAGACTGTACCACAGTGAATATACACAAGGGGGCCAAATTAAGGTGGCACAGGCAACTTTATATCTAGCATTGCCTACCTTGTAAGTACTTGATTTTGCAATCTTAATAATGTTCTTTTAACATAATGATCTTTTAATTTTGCATGTGTATAGTAAACAATAGAATACAGCTGCTGTGTTATATATAAACTGTACCAAACCAAGATAGTTTTGGATATGCCTAGTATAAGCACAGAGTGGGATAGTGTCAAAGGGACTAAAGGGAGTTGGGTTCCCGACTACACTGAAAGTCAATGGGAGTTGATACCCAACTTCCCTTTGTGACGGGGGAGGTTTTAAGCCATGTTAAGGAAAAACAGATTAAGCTGACAAGTTAAAATAGTGGAATGGAAACCCAAAGCAACAATTTTACATAATGCAAGATTTTCCAAAAGGAAATGGTTTTGTTGACTGGAATTCTGCCCATCTCCCATGGCAATTTGTTTACATACTGCCTGCAAGAAGTCTACAAGTAACAGTTAAGACTATTATTTGGTGCATTACTCCACATTCTGTCCACAAGTTCTTAATATTTTTTTTCCACCCTAGTTCAAGTTTGGTCTTACTTTGGAAGCCATTTATGAGTTTGACAAAAGCTACCTCAATTTGATGTAAAATTTCTCTTTAGAAATTTATATTGACGGTACCAAGGCACATGGGCACTCTACAGCAAAATTACAACAAACAAACAGAATAGCAGAAGTCTCTAATTAACAAAAATCAAGAACAAAAAACCCCACACCAACCTGATTCCCTATTATTACAAAGGCCACTCAAAAGCACAATAGTGTCATGAAGTTTGCCAAACTCAGGCTCCAGCAGACCTCCCAGACACAGCAGGTACCAGAGGCTCAGGCCCTCCACCCTCAGAATGCCCTCGTGCTTGCTGTGTTAAAGTGAAATTCAGAACTTGAACTCTCCAACAGTGAGAGCAACCCAGTGGATCTTAGCTTGAAGGACACAAAACATATTAGCCATCCTGGCATTAACAACTAGTTCAGACAGAATTCCTACTTTCACACTCAGCTGTGGCAAGCAATTTTTGGACTGTGTAAAACATCATTAGTTTTCTAATCATCCTTCAAAGAGAGGATGAATAGATCTAGTGCCTGACCTAGCAAAACTTTATATTGATTTTGGAAGGCTGTTTTAAACCAGCAAGTCAGCTCAAACTCTGGGGAATATTTCAGAATACATTCATTTGTATGTCTACATCTCTTCTATGGTAATTACTGCAGTATCATTTTATACATTAAAATACAGAGGAAGGATAACATTTACATACTTTTAGGATGAAGTAGATCAGACCTAGCAATACTCCAAGACTCCACCCCAGTACATTGTCCAGCTCCCTATAGCCAATAAGATAACGAAACCAAATTGGTATGGGGACGAATGTACGGTAATACTGGCAGAATTCTTCTAACAGCATATACCAGTAGCCCTACGAACAACAAGAGGAATATTTAAAAATACATTTAAAATACAGATAATTTAAAGTTAATGTATCTTTTCTATATATTTACTCTCTTTTTAATATTTATCCCTCATTATATCTTAACTAGTGACTCGACAGATCTGAAATATTGTTTGGAAACATGAGTCATTAAAACCCCATACATGTAAGAGTTACAAAACTGCATGGTATTACATTAAACTCCTAAAAAATGGGGCCAAGATCATGATTTTTAAAAAGGAGTTAAAAAGAAGTTTTATCATGGGTAAATTCACTAACACTTCAGCAATTAGAGTCAGGTGTCAAGACAAACAAAACAAAACTGATGATCTTTGGCAAGTCCTGAGTTGACATTTGTCAGCTATCATAAAACAGCTGCACAATTGGCAGGCTCTGCTCAAGAGAAGACCAGAAAAACCAAGGTACAAAAGATCAGAATAGGGGTTCCTTTGCAGAGTGCCTACCTACTTACCACTGTTATCAGTCTTGCTTTCATAAGCATTAAAAAAGGGGAAAAGTTACAAGAAAAATGCAAACAGAAAAATTAATTTTAGATCAATTTTCTGTTAAAAATTGTCTGCATGTATAACGCTGAGAAAAAAGGGGGTTAAGAAAAGGCCTTTTCTTTTACAACCACATGTAAATCAAAACTCCATTTACCTCCCCCACAAGTTACTTTGTGTTCTTTAAAAGCTCCATGCCCTCCCTTTTAAAACAGTTTTGCAATCGGTTTATAAGCACCTAGAGGACAATACAATAAGGAATAACCATCATGGATTTGTCAAGAACAAATCATGCCAAACCAACCTAATTTCTTTCTTTAAAAGAGTTACTGGGCCTGGTGGATGGGGAAAGCAGTAGCAGTAACATATCTTGATTTTAGTAAGGCTTTTGACACAATCTCACATGACATTCTCATAACCAAACTAGGGAAATGTGGTCTAGATTAAATTACTATAAAATGGGTGCACAACTGTCTGAAAGACCATACTCAAAAAATAGTTGAGAATGGTTTTCTCCTTCCCCTGCATCGACAGATAATGTGCAGAACTTTAATTAAGAAAAATGTTCCTCTAGGTGGAATTCATGACTGGCTGATTGTACTGTAAAAGGATGTTCATGCTAAAGCTAAGTATAGATTATTTTCTTACCTTGGATTTAAAAGACATCATAAAAGAAGGCACCAAGAGAATAAAGCATTTGAAGCCCATGAAGAGGAATTTCAGAATAAAGTCTGTGATTCCCACGATCCAAAGTACCTCCCAGAAGTTCATAAAATCCACAGTAGGTTTTAAAAAGATTAAGCTACAAAAAGAAATATCTAAAATTACAAGGGTACGCGCTCCAGAGGTACACACTGTGAATGGATATTAGCGTACGGTTTCATTTAAAAGGGTTTTTTTTTTTTAAAAAAGCATGTTTAGATAGTGTAATGTTTTCCTCTAGAAGGAGTGGGAAAGAGAGAGCTTTTGTCATCCATGAAGAGCTCCCCATTTCGAATCCACTTTACATCTGCATTGTAACCGTCATCCTGCCATACAAGTACTTGCTCCCTTTCCCATTCTGCCAATGTTGCCCCTTAATCAGTTAGCAGGGTTGTTGTAAACTAGTGACAGAAGAAATTTAGACACATGCCCTGCTAGAGACTTATGGCACTGTATCCCCAGTACTCCCACACCAAGGTGTGACGGGGCTGAGAATCAAACCCAAGTTGTGCCAGTGAACCCCAGACATAGGGCCTAATCTTGCAAACCCTTCTTCACATGAGTGTTCTGTAGTAAGGCTTTGCAGGACTGGGCCCATCATTTATTTATTTATCTGCGTTAAGTGAAGCCAACTTCTTGATTCTCTTAAAAAAAAAAAATGCCAGGAGCAAAGATGAGATTTTCACAAAATGACAGTTCATTTAAAGTGACTAATATAACATAGATGTTCTGCTAATTACCTGTAATAAAGTGACTGAGAGTGAAAGGTATAATACAAGAGGAGAGATGACCCGGTTAGGAATATCAGTACCCAAGCACATTGCAACTTGGAGCACCTTTCCTGTAAGATACACATTAAAAATGTAATCGTTTTCTGTTACTTTGATTTTTTTTTTTAAGTCTCAAGTTAATTTCTTTCACACTCAATAAAACTAGGACGGCAGTATTTGAACACAGTCACTAGTACAAGATGCTGCTATGTTACTTTACACCATGAAGAAGTAGTTCAAGGGCAGATCATTGTGCTCACACAGATCTCCATGCACTTTAATGGGATGAAAAGAAAAGGACTTGTGGCACCTTAGAGACTAACAAATTTATTTAAGCATAAGCTTTCGTGATCTACTTTCCACTGAATGCATCTGATGAAGTGAGCTGTAGCTCACGAAAGCTTATGCTCAAATAAATTTGTTAGTCTCTAAGGTGCCACAAGTCCTCCTTTTCTTTTTGTGGATACAGACTAACACGGCTGCTACTCTGAAACCTTTAATGGGGTGAACGCCCAAGCAGAAGTGTTACTGCTTAGGCGTTCATTTCATTTTGTTACTTAGAAAACGATATATATATCTCCTCAACTGCTTTTCTAAGTAACAAAATTCTCAATAACCTCTGTGCCCTCATAACAGATACTCTGCATATGAAACAGTAGTTTTAACCATTCTTAAAATACAGTTAAGCATTTCTGTCTTATTACGGCAGAAGCATTGTCAGGCATTTTGATATGCAAAGTCAGAAAAAGAGATTGTACCAATATTTTATTTTAAATTTGCAAAGTATGCTTCTCTGACAAATGCTAAGTCAGGTTTAGAAGTGTGTAAATTTTATTGATTGCTAAAACATTTACATCTCAAAAATCCTATGATATTTATCTGTTTTGTTTACTAAATTAATATAAGATCATTTCACATTTCTCTCAAAAACTGATGCATGAAAGTCTTGGGTAATAGTTAATGTAAAAACACTTAAACTTCATTGCAACGGGCAATACTTACTCTTAGAAAAACCTGATTTACAATGCTTTTGTTTGCATACATAAAAGTTGTTAGCAGCCCAATTCCAAGAGAAATGCCTATTAGGAAAAATGGGTCAGTTATATGGAGGAAAATAAGAAACTGGATTAAAATAAAATAAGTGCACTTCTCACTAGTACTTGCGATAACAGAATACAATTTTAACAGTTCAGGCAATCAAGCTAAAATAATTAAGCTACATTGTATACGCTAACAAAAGAAAAACAGATTAAGTGATTGAAATCTCTTATAGGAAATTTCTCCTTCCAGTGAAGAAATGAAATTAAAATAAAGCTAAAAGTAAATCAAATTATACTTTAGGCATGCTCATAAGCAGGACTGAAGGCAGGAAAAAAGGGCTAGTTCCCCCATACCATACTCTGTTATACTCTACCGATTATATGTTGCATGGTCAGTTTGATACACAGAATCAAGATGTATGGAAGACTTTTGTGCAGCCACTGGAGGAGATATCGGAGTTCAGAGATGGAGCTGCCACTGTGTTCCTCTGAATCTAAGGTGGAATCTTCAGACCCCCTCGCTTCATTGTGGGAGTGGCCATGTGAACGGCCCTGGGAACCTGATCGTATGTGCCTGAAACTGGGGTTTTCCCCAGATTCTCCCAAGGCAGAACTTAGCTGGATGTGAACATCTCCAGTACGGTGGCAAGAGCCTTCTCCTGGCAGCCCTGCTGTATGGGCACTCTGAGAAGACGAGGGAACATCACCACTTCCTGGGGCATTGTGGAGATGAGTGTAATTTGATTGCATGGCGTTGAATTGATCTTTCTCTGGTCCAGATTCTTTTGTCTCACTGCTATGTCTCCTAAAGGGTGGGGGAAAAGCCATGTTTAAAGGAGCAGTGTTCCATTCAGTTAGGAAAAGAGAATTGTCTCTCTGAAATACACAGCCTTTTGGCCATCCTGATGATCTAGATATACAGACCACTGGTACAGTGATAGATATACAAATACTGGTTTCTTTAGCTCTGGAGGTTTGTATTTTAGGCTCCCACCCCTTACCTTAATGAGAAGCCTCTGTGTGAATTGCTCACAGCATCCACTGACTTACTTTCTTTCAATGATGTATACTGTAACCTTCAATGGGCTGCCACACATACAGTCTGGAAAAGCCAAAGCTACACTGAAAATTAGAAAGCACCCAGCCGAATAGGAGGAGACAGGCACTAGCTTGTATAGCAGAAGTTTTAACATGATATATATGTTTATAGAAAAAGGTTGGGAACCATTATGAGATTAAGAAGGAAATAATAAAGGTGGGGGATGGGACCTGCACATTTAAGCATCCATAAAATGGCATGTATTTAGACACAGACGAGTCTAATCAAAATCCAGTGAGTACTGAAAACAGAGTGCCATTACGGGATTACCAGAAGAGATTATCCTGTCGGGGAAGTGAGTGGAACCAGGTTAATCCACTTTTTAAAAGACACTGGGAAGAGCCTGGACCATATGGGGGCTTTGCATAGGCAATGTACTCTTGGGAGGGAGAAGAAAGCAGGAAATAAAGAGCAAATGTGTGGGACTGGGTTAGGGTTGATAGAGAATCTAGGTCCAAAGGCAATTGCAGACAGTAAAGAGTGGTCTAATGGTTAGAGCAAGAGATCTGGGTTTTATTCCAAGTACTGTAATTTACTTACTGTGTCCCTTGGCAATTCATTTCATTTCTGTGCCTCAGTCTCCCCATCTGTCAAATGGGTATAATAGTTCTTATATACTTTCCAGGAATGGTATAATGTTTCATTAGATATCCTTTGGAATGTGTTTTGAGATTACTGGATAGCACAGAAGGGCAAAGTATTTTTACAATATTTATCTGTAGCAAACACTACAGTTGTGGTTTAGTTGGGATTTTCATTATAAACTTTTTTCAGTTGCTCACCATTTTCTCAAAAATGCTTTTTTTTGTTGGACACGTAGAAAAGTTTGAGTAAAATCTATTGACCTGTTTTTCAGTTATGCAAGCATGAAAAACATACAATCTGAATTGCAAAAAAATCTCAATATGCTATTTGTGCACATATCTACATTAGTAAAGACTTAACATTTGAAACAAAACTAGATTCTGCTAATTTGTAAAAAAAAAAAATTGAGTTATTAGCATTTAAGAAAAACTGCATGCACAGTAAAACTTCTCACTAACATTCAGAGCTATTACGGATACATTATCTGTTGTCCTACGTTCATATTGTAGGCCTCAGTCTTGCAAAAACTCATGTACTGTACTTAATGTGTGTGAGCAATCCGATAAGCTGAAGTCAACAGGACCACTTTAGTGTATGAATAAAGTTTCTCATGCATGGGTTTGGAGAATCAGGCCCTTAACATTTATGTTGCAAAAACTGATTAATTAGCACTCTTGATTTGGTGGTTTATGACCTGCTCCTGCAAAAACTACTAGGACAAAGTAGTTCCTATACTGTAAGTAATTCCATTGTTTTAATAGAGCGCTATGCTTAGTAGTATGGCTTTGCAGAATCAGCCCATGGCAGTTTACTTGTTTAGAGAACTTTAAAAATAACTGCATTTATTATTAAATCATACTATAAAACACATAGAATGCACAATATGGCTGAGTTAATGTCACTATGAGAATTCTTTTCACTTCCTAATTTAAGTATTTAATAGGCACCCTAATATTAAATATATATTAACAAACATTTTGTATTTTAATTAATGGATCTCAAATCTACTCTCTGAACACTGACCAAAACATATTTTTTTAAAAATTCTCTTTAATTTTACTTTTTCAGCATGTCAGATCCTCCTACCCAGGCCTGAGTTTATGGGATGCTCCCAGGTGTATCAGAAATGGTGTCCTGCAAACAGAGGTTCTGAAGCCACCCGTCTAGCCTGCAAAACATCTATCTGTCACAGTGTGGAGGGATGAGCCAACACGGCTCCTGGCCTGACATCATCACATCAGAATGTCACCCTGTTGCACTGCTGAGTTCCTCCCAAGGCACAGACACCTATCCCAGGTAAAAAGAAAAGGAGGACTTGTAGCACCTTAGAGACTAACCAATTTATTTGAGCATGAGCTTTCGTGAGCTACAGTTCTGATGAAGTGAGCTGTAGCTCACGAAAGCTCATGCTCAAATAAATTGGTTAGTCTCTAAGGTGCTACAAGTCCTCCTTTTCTTTTTGCGAATACAGACTAACATGGCTGTTACTCTGAAACCTATCCCAGGTAAATATCGTTATGAACAAAAGAGCACCCAGAGGAGTGCCAAGTCCCCGCTTTCCCTTCCCAGCAGGGACACAGTGGGGGTGACATACACACCCTCCTGTGCCAACTAGGTGAGCGTGGGTGGGCAGCACCAGTGGGTGAGAGGTAAATGCCCCCTTTCATCTCCACCCAGGGGTGGGAGTGGGGCAGACAGTAAGGGGCTAATTCCCCTTCCACCTTCCTCCCCTAACAAGGGGGCAGGGGGAGAGAGGGCAGACAATGAGGGGCGAATGCCCCCCTTCCATTTGCACAGACGATGGGGGACAAATCCCCCCCCTTTCCATCTGAACCCCAGATAAGGCGGCGGGGGTGGGGATAAACTGTGAGAGGTAGCCCTCCTCCCCTTTCCATTTCCACCCTGGCACGAGACAGCGAGGGCTCAATCCCCGTTTAAACAGCCCGAGGTCAGAGCCGGGGGCAGATCCGCCGCAGCACAGGTAAGGGGCGGAGCCAGAGGGGCAAATCACCCCGGCCCCGCAACCTTACCTCTCATGACGCGGCCGGGGCTCCGTGCCCAGCCCTGCTGCCCGGGCCGCGGCCTCCCAGGGCCTCCATCACTGACGCCTGGGCTAGATTGGGGGCGGGGGCAGAAGCAGCAGCAACTACCGGCTGGTGGAAGAGGAGGAGCTGGGGGGGGAGGAGGAGGAAGGCCCGGCGCTGTTTGTCTCCATAGCAACTAGGCTGGGGCCCAGCGTCCAGCGAGCCGCCGAACCCGCGGGGGAGGGGGAGGCAGATGGTGAGGACGGGGTAAGGGGGAGTTGTGGGGCGGAGGCCGGGGTGGGAAGGGTCGGGGGGAGGAAGGAGAGGAACTGGGGCGTGAGTGGTTGGAGCGGTGGGAGGAAGAGGAGAGGCGTGAGGAAGAGTGGGTGGGGGTCAGGGATTGGGCCGCCAGCGGCCGGAGGGCAGAGAGGGAGGAGCAGGGATTTGGAGGGTGCTGTCTGCAGGTGCTAGTGAGTTGAAGGTGCTGGGGAATGGCTTCTGATGAAGCTGGTAGGTGCCATATGAGGGTGAACGTGGCAGTGGCAGGCCGCGGGTGAGGGGGTGGATGGTAGGAGTGAAGATGGGGAGTTATGACTAAAATTACCTGGGGAGCGGGAGTGAGGTGTGGGCTAAGAGCACAGCTGAGAAGCAGGAGTCATGATTTCTCATCCAGGCTCTGCCACTGACCTGAATTTGGGCAAGTCACTTAACCCCGACATGCTTCAGTTTTCTCTGTAAAATGTGGCAATACCCACAGACAGGGGTAAATTAACGTTTGTCCGGTGCTTTGAGTCAGAGCACTATATGTGCAAAGTATTATGATTTTTTATTATTATTAATAAGGTTAAACTCTCATTTGAAGCTCTGTAAAGGTTTAAATATTTATTGGGATTTTTACTGTGGTGATGGGCTTTTTGTGATTTGGATCTTTGAAGGATGGTCCAGTGGTTAGGGTGCTAGCCTGGGACTCAGCAGATTTAGGTTCAATTGCCAGCTCTGCCACAGACTCCCTATATGGTCTTGGGCAGGTCACTTAGTGCTTGTGTACACAGGGAGTTATTCTGGAATTGCTCTTCCTGATTAACTCCATGTGTGGATGTTCTTATTTCAGAATAAAAACATCTGCACGTGGAGTTAATCAGGAATCGGCTTTAAATTCACATCCTATCTTATTACAGATTTATTTTCATGTGTAAAGACTAACTCTTAGTCTCTCTTTCTGTGCCTCAGTTCCCCATCTGTAAAATGAGTGATAAAAGTACTTCCCTGTCTCACAGGGGTGTTGTGAGGATAAAAACATTAAAGATTGTAAGATGCTTAGATACTATGGTAGTGGAGGCCACAGAAGTATCTGAAAGAGAGAGATAAAGGCATTTGAGTTGGTACCTAGTGATAATTTGATTAAAAAATAGAAAGATATAAAATTAACATGTCACGCATTAAATGGATTAAAAGTTGGCTAACTGATAGGTCTCAACATATATTTGTAAATGGGGAATCATCATAGTATGGCTGTGTTTCTAGAGGGGTCCCTTAGGGACTGGTTCTTGGCCCTATGTTATTTAACATTTTTATTAATGACCTGGAAGAAAGCATAAAATTATCACTGATAAAGAATGCAGATGACACAAAAATTGGCGGAATGGTAAATAATAAAGAGGACAGATCACCCTGATGCTGAACGATCTGGATCGCTTGGTAAGCTGGGCGCAATACTGTTTCTCACTTTGACAATAAAAGTAGAAATTAAGGCTTGTATCGTGCAAAGTTACCTGTGTGGGCACACCACTTTGTCCATGTGGTGCATCCCTGAAGGATTGGGGCCTACAGTGATCAATACACATCAATCCTGAATTCCAAGTCCCTATTTTAAAAATAAACGTTTCTCAGTTGTAAAAGTGCAACATAATAGAAAAGTAATATATTGGTTTTATATGCAAATCTATTACAGAGAAAATGCTTTTGGATCTGAGAATATTTCTCTCAGTTTTCAACCCAAGGGAACTTTTTTATACAAAAGTTATAAAAACTCTTAAATTAATTATTTCAGTACAAATTAAAGACAGAACCCTAATTCAGTAGCTCCTCTCTCATTTCTCTTAATTAAGGCCCCAGTCATTCTGACTCATACATAACTTTAAACAGTGAATTGTCCTATTGACTTCAATGAGATAAACAGTGTGTAAAGTTAAGCACATGTATTAATCTTTGTAGGATCAGGGCCTGAGTCATAAAAATAATAGAGTGGGTGCTGTTTTAAAAACTTCAGCATTTACATCTTCTTGTGGTAATTGAAAATAATATATGTGGTACTGCAGAACAGTAAATGCTGAATTTTAAATTGCACTCACTGTACTAATGATACTTTTATGTATATAAACACTTTACAACCTCCAAGTATACACCAATATTAATGGATTCATCTGTCATTAATCTAATTACTTGGTGATATGATCTATACAACATTCTTACCTGAATGAAAGTGTCTTTTAGTATACTATGCCCCATTTAAGCACCTAGGGCTTGATTTTAAATGGTGCTGAGCACCCACAGATCCCATTGAGTTTTGGCTGGTCAATACTTGTGAAAATCATGTCCTTCAGTGTGGACTTTGTATAGGGTCTTGTGTGGTATGGATTGTGGGGGGAAAAAATTATCCAAAATCCTGAGAAGTCTTCTAGAAGCTATGGGCCAGCTCCTGTTGAAGTTTAATGGGGATTTTCTTCAACATGAACTTGGACAAAAGAGTAAATGATTTATAAAATTGTACATAGGTGCTAATGTAAGTTGGTGATACTACAGGAACTCTTGTGTCTTTAGTGGTCTGATCTTGTAGGTGCTCCATACACAGGACTTCTAGTGGGAATTCCATATGGATTGAGCACTGTGCACCCAGCTCCTCTGTAATTTCTGTTACAATTTAAATATTTAATTTAGTTCAGAACAAAAAGTTTTAAATGGCTGCTGGAATGATGGATTGAAAAAATGTCATCACGGAGAAGGAATAACTTTCTTAAATAATACTTCTAGCTAGATTGTAACATATACGTTAATGATTTTCCCTGACTGAGGTTTTTCAGCATCATATAATTAAGAAGTTCTACATAAAGCTGACAAGAGCACATAAGGAAATCTGTGTCTGATGAAAGTATCCCATAAAATGGATAAAGTTGGAGGAACATCTGGACATGCGAGGATAAGATTATGTGGAAACCATCAGACTTTGGATGTATCTTGGTTAAATTCTAGCCTACAAGAGACATTATTACCAGGAAAACCATGGCATAAGGTAAAATGTTTGTTTGCAAAATATGCATCTATTAAATTATTTAAATGCATGTGGATGTCATCTTTGCAATTTTTGATCTGTCCTTGTTCCTATTGCTTGCTTATATGGACATTTTTTTCCTTAGTGTGGGGGGTATTAAAACAACAACTGTTGTTTTTAAATATGCAAGTAGGCAAATATTCTAATGACTATTTTAGTTAGCTTGTCAAGAATTTTATTACTCTCCTTGAAAGTTAGGACAAAAGTCATGCATCAGAATGTTACTCAACTGTTCACATTAGATTTACCACAATAAATTCTCTAAAGGCAGTGTGTTTGCACAAAAACAGCTAAAGAAACTCTCAACACATATGAGGCAAGGGGAAGATTACAATCTTCCAGACTGTTTGCGTTCTGTAACTTTAATTTCACTCATCTCATGGACAAAGCATGTTATAAATACTGGCCAGATGGACATATTTGAACAGAATGCTAGCAATAAACATCAGACCAAATTCATACCTTCACCAGATCTGAGTTTGCCCCATTATACTTAGTATCTAATTCTGAAATATAATTTAATAAAAAATTGTCAGAATATTTTGCTTTCTTATGGGTTTTCTGATATTCAGCTTTAACTTTTCTTTGCTTAATAAAATTTCCTTACTTGTAGGTAAACCCTAAAGCATTCCTTCCCTTCATAGTGTTCATCTGGTTCAAAGTTTTGTTCAGTTCTTATATTCTTCCCCTTCCCCCTTTTTTTCATAGTCTCTAAGAATCGTTGGCAGTAACCATCTTGAAATCTTTATTTGCTTTGAGTTATAAAGCAGAATCAACATAGATTCCTGCCCACCAATTTAACCTGATATGTAAAAGAAAATACACCTACAAGCAAAATGCATTGATGCATTGTTTAGTTTTGAATCCACAAATAGGGAAGTCAAATAATCTGAGTACTATCAATTTTATTTACAGCTTAGGGCACAATGTTGCAATACCTTACTCAATAAGTGAGTCCCGCATTTATTTTCCTTTCCCGTCTCTCTTTCAAAATTCTCTTATTGCAATGACTTTCCATGCCACTAAGAAGGGCTGGAATCATCTGCCTTTGGTGATTGTCTGTATTGCTCCATGTGTCACATTGTTCCTTAGCAGAATCCTCTGTGTAAGTTGCTTGCATTGCCTCAGGGAATGAGCATGCTGCTGCCCCAGATCATTCTAGCCCAACAGCAGAAAGATGAGCTTGGGAACCAAGATTGGGATAGGTTTCAGAGTAGCAGCCATGTTAGTCTGTATTCGCAAAAAGAAAAGGAGGACTTGTGGCACCTTAGAGACTAACCAATTTATTTGAGCATGAGCTTTCGTGAGCTACAGCTCACTTCATCGGGTGCATAAAGTGGAAAATACAGTGAGGAGATTTATATACACACAGACCATGAAAAAATGGGTGTTTATCATACACATTGTAAGGAGAGTGGGATAGTTCTGCATGGGCAACATGTTGAAATAAGATGCGACCTCTGGATCAGCCACATTAAGATGAAAGATTGCTCCTTAAAGAACTTCAGATGATGTCCAGATACTACAGTGCAGGGTGCATTAAAAGTCAATAGTTAGCCTGAATTAAAGTTTGAAGAATTTCTGGAACTACAGTATGTTTAAAATATTTACTGAGACAAGGTGGGTGAGTAACATTTTTTTTTATTGGACCAACTTTTGTTGGTTAAAGAGACAAGCTATTGACCTACAAAAGTTGATCCAATAAAAAACTTTACGCACCTAGTCTCTTTAATATCTGGGGACCAACACAGCTACAACAACACTGCAAACTTAGTATTTTATTACTAATTTATTTCTCCTTTAGGTTTTAGACAAACTTGGAGCTGCTCTTGCTGATGACATGAACACCAACTAAGAAATCCTACACCATGACAAATGATTTTCTGTCTCCTTGGCCAGCATTTTGTTAAAAAAATATTTTAGTGAGTGTCCTAATCAAGCTAGTCTATTAGTAAGTGAGTTATGGGAGCTTTGAGCCTACAGCAACATAACGTGAACATGTACAAATCTCTTGTTGTCATAAAAGTAAAGTGGATTATTTTGTTCTCAGTTATAAAATTGTACTTCTAAATTTTTCAGTGTAGTTAATCAATCTGAAATAAGATTAAAATGTTATATATCTTTTACCTTGTATCTAACAGGCTTTCAGTATTTTTTTCTCCTCTCAGGAAACTTGAAAAGAAAACAAGATAATGAGTGTATATATGAGGGTTTTCTCCATTGGAGCTATGGTTCAAATCCAGATTCAGTGAGATATCAAACTCATATAAGGATAGATTCTGTAGTCCTAACTTAGCAAAACTTTCATTGACATTATGGGAATTTTGTCTGAGTTAGGATTGTAGGATCTAGCCCTTTGAGCAGACTCTTCTTAGAACGGAATTCATGTGGTAGCAGACTTGACAGGTTTGGAAGCATTTGTGCGTGACAAGGAGGATGGGAGTATCCAGTTCTTCATTATGGAAGCTGATGACTGAATGTAGGGAGGATGGTAGTGGGGCTGCTGTCCTGTTGTGTATACAGTTCTGGACAAAATCCTGAGGATCTTACTTAGGCAAAAATGTCATTAACTTCAATGGAAATTTTGCCTATGAACTGAGCAAGGAGCTCAGGATTTTGTTCCATATCTTTAAAATCTTCTTAAGCATTGATTGTCTGGCTACTAGAATCTTTTGTTGCCAAAGCAGTAGAGTGTTTTTAAACCTGGGAATTTCTTGCTCCACATTAAGAGTAGCCTGAACCAAGCTTAGTCTGTGGTATCTTTACCCTAGGAAATGGTTATTTCTCTTAATAAGAGTAACCTGCTAACAGGACTTGCTACTGTGGGAATTTATTGTTCCCCAGTAAGAATATCTTGGGACAGGAGCACTCCCAATATCATTGTCTTTGTGAGAAAGTTACTACAGATTTTCTTTAGGGAAAAGTTACTCTCCCTGTCTTAAATATCTAACTTAAATAATCGAACACACAAAGTAGGAAGGCAGAACTTTTAACTGCTTTGTGCCTTACTTACCAAGGTGTTTTTTTTTTTTTAAATAAGAACCAAAATAGAAGACCTCACTACACTTTTGAACATCCCTTTAAAAAATCACAAAACAATGTATTAGTTTTCAAAGTTAAGTACTTCATCACTTGTTTTTCAAATTAGGCGTTTGTTATCTCTAAGGAAGAAGTTCATTACTATTTTGAAGTCCACTGCATTTGTTTTTGCAAGAAATATTTTATAGAGGTATTTCAGATCCATTGCTTCTGTCAGCAGCAACTTGCCATTTACCCTTCTTTAACTGGGGGTTAGAGGACAAAGATAGGCAAGGAGGTGATGGCAGTATGACTTCTTCATGTGCCATGCTACCAAAGGAAGAGAGGATGTAGGGAGTAATGGAAGGGTCAGATCTCTGTGTGATTGCCCTGGGATCCATGAAACTTTTTGACAGATCTCAGAACATCCATCTTGTTCAAAGGTTCTCCCCTCCATGGCTCTACAAACCACAAGCTGGAATAATGCTTCAGGAACTCCATGAATTAAGAGTTTCTTGTATTGCTCTTCACCTCCTGCATCTTTTTCTGTTGGTGGATATATCCAACCTTGGAGTTTAACATTTGAGAGTAAGGCCGGGTAAGACTGGTACATGAAGAAGTAGTAAGTATGACTCTGGGTATTCTTTCTGAAAAATAAGAGATTCCTTCAAGTAAACTTTTCTCCAGGATAAAGATATTTAGAAGTAAGTTTGACTCAAAATAATTTTACTGAGGACTAAGACATTCTTGGGAAAGAAGGCTTGCCTCTATATTCAGTGGCACCAGTCCTTCCTCTCAGTGGCTGACATAAGGCACTGCTCATGGGCAAATTTTCTCTACTAAAACTTCCTTCCCTAACGTGATAATCAACAGTCGTGGCCCTGGCAGCAAAAAATGGCAAGAACTGTTTATACAAGATGTTATGTTCTTGTGATAACCCAAACGTTCTGTACCTAGTCTTCCACAAACATAAGTGAGAGAGATCAGAAGAAGTTGGAAGAAGATACAAGGATTTGGGTGAAGCAACAGTGCTTAAAAGCTGCAGAACGCATTAGCTGTCAGTTCAGACTTGGTGAGTTAAGATATACTGTCTATGCCATATATATGTGGAAACAAGCTTGGGCAATAAAAACAACTGCCACTATCTGCAAATCTTACTGTTACAGCTAAATCTTTGTCTACAAAAGTATTAAACAAAAGATTTTAGAGACTCAAATCCAGCCACCTACTCTATTTATGAATAAACAAGAATGTGATTGCACCACAGAAATAATGGGTCAGGTTCTGGTTCCTTCTCTAGCTGCTTTTGCGTCATTTTGGTTGAGCAAAGCAGCTGTAAAGCAAGCAGATCTGGCCTCCTAAGGATTCTCCTACACTTGAAAATCCTTGGAGGACTGTAGCATCTCTTATGCTTACACATCCTGCTGTCTTTCAATGAATGATTCATTCTATAGGAAAGGGGCATCGCCAGTGTGTCCCTCCACGCCATTGATTCCTGGGTGCCAGCATGGCTTTTTGGGACAGTAGGTTGCTGGATGTGAACGAGAGCGGTCTTTTGTCAGCTCTAATTTATGCTGAGGAATGGCCCAGTCCTTGGCTGGCCCAGGATCTAGGGATTCTAATGATGAATAATACCTATATCTGATACCATACCTTTCATTGTGCTTTTTTTCATCGATCTCAAAGCACTTGACAAAGGCAGTACGTATCATTATCTCCATCTTTTCAGATAAAATGCCACCTGAAAGCAAGCTGTCTTTACCCCTCCTTCAATCTTGCACCAAACACAGATTTGCCAAATGGAAGGATGTGGGCTAAATAGGTCAAATTTATCCCTGATGTCATTCCACTGAAGTTGGGGGAGTTAATACCATGGATGAATTTGGCCTGTGGTTTAATTTGTTACTACAAATGTCTCTCACATAACTATCACAGTTACCAGGCTAACTGTGCTTCTGACTCCCTCCTGATTTCTGAGTTCATCCCCTCTCACATCTCATCATGTACCTTGGGAAGGAATCACCTAATTCTCCCACTCTCAGACCAGGTCTGATTTAGTTTCAGTTCCTGCAGTTCTTTTTCTGCTAGGAGCTATGACAGTGGTACCCAGAGACCAGACAGCCTTCTTAAAGGAAAGTTTTTATTTTTTTTAAAAAAGCATTTCAAAGAAAAAGACCGTAAAACAATAAAACAGACAATATTCACGTTTAGGTAACTCATGTGTCTGCCCATCTTCCAGATGGGGATCCTGGTAGACCTAAGCTTCCTATAGGCACCACAAGGCTGCTAGGCTCTGAGTGACAGTTCCTTCCATTAAATCACAAATCAATTCTCTATGTCTACTGCAGGGAGTTTTCTGTCTTTAAAAGCTACTCAGTGCTTTAAACACACATTCACAGGAATTGTCACCTTTAACCATTTAGTGTCCCTTTTGATCTCTAGACTCCCAGTCTTCGCAGAACAGATGCATAACTTTAGGCTGGAGCCTGGAAGTAGGCCATTGTCTTGTAATTGTTGCCCAGTTGATGGGAGGTTGCTTACACAGAGCCACTATGTTGTCCTTTCCTGCTTGTCTTTCCAACAGTCCGCTATTAAGAAAGACCAGTACATCCATAAGGAAAGTTAAATAAGCTATTATAGCTATACAGTAACTTCACCTCACTGACCAGGCCACAGATAATATTCACACAATTATTACATATCAGTATGCTCAGATTATTACCTAGCAGCTCCATGCCTGCCACAGTAATGTCCTCAATTTCATTCATATGTTTTCACCTTTCAGTATGAAATTGAAGAAGTCACTGTATGCCATTATTTCCTGCCATAGGCTCTGATCCTACAATGAGTTCTCTGCAGGCAGACCTCTGTACCTGTCTGGAGACCCACTGAAGTCAGTAGGATTCTGTGCAGATGCAGGGGTCAGCCTATGCAGATCTCATTGGAGGACTGAATCCATGCTGCTTATTGTCCTTTTTTGTTTATTTTGTGTTTTTTATCAAAAAAATTCAGCTAAAATATATCTGGGAAGAAAATTAAATATGCAAATAAATGAAAGAGAAGTATATATAGCAATATCATACCAACTGCAGCTTAGCAGTAATTATGGTTTACCGCAGGAATGTTCTGCTGTTTTCAAATTAACTTTTTATCGTAGGAAATCTGAAAAATGTCCTGTTTAGTACTGCTGTATCTCCTACCTGAAGCTAGAAATGAAACCGCCACAGGATTCCTTATTCGATGTATGCTCTTCAATAAATTGGTTTGCATGTAAAAATGACTAGTGTTCATGTAAGTGGCTGAATTAAACAAGAATTTTTTGTGAAGTTAAAATTAAAAATTGATTCCCTTCAATAATAATAATAAATAATGACTTGACTTCGGTCTCTTGAAAATATTCACTTTTAAAAGTGCTTTATAAATATTAATTGCACTTAATTGGAGTTCCAGTCTCTGACTCCATCTTAGGAGTCATTCTTAGATACCTTAAGGTTGGAAAATGCAGTTTTAATTTTGCTTTTAAGTCTTTTGGACCTGATTTTTTTGCCCCCAAACTGTGTGTATTCATCTGCAATGTGAAAAGAGTGTAAAGTGGGATTATGACACAACCAACCAGAATTCTCCACTCACTTACACCAATGGTAGTATTTTGTACCCAACCTGCATTTGCTTTGCACAGGTGTAAGATTGCACACAGGGCGCAAGGCAGTGGAGAATCAGGTCCTTTGAGTCCGACCCTGTATTTGTTTAATTGTGTGTTTTGGGTGTGCAAGATATGGAGGACTCAAGCCTTGCATTTGTAAATTACTTTTAAAATAAATTACATTTTGTTTTCTGTACACTAGATAATAACTGACAGACTGGCTCCCGAAATGGTGCATTTTCTTAATGATACCTACAACATAGTAGCAACAGAGATGGAATTGTTATTTGCTACACATGAAGCATGGAAAAAGGTAGCTTATTCTTTCTCCAGTTACAGTTTTTTGCTAAGAAAAAATCTTTAACTTGTTTTTTTAAATATTATTCAGCAAATAACAATCCAGGTAATTTATATCCCCTCTCATAGGTTATTTTGAATCAACTTTAACATCTAAATTAAAGATCTGGTGGTAGATATCCAAAATTGTAAATTGTTTGTGACTAGAACACCATTTATTTTAAATTTTGCATTTATAGGCAGAAGATTCATATAAGGATCTACTACCATCGGAGTGGAATTCTAATTCGACATCAGTAGCTAAAAAAAGGACAAATTCTGTTGAAAGCAAAGACCTCAATCTAGCCATACACAGAGGATCTGTTTTCCAATTAAATGAAAAAGGTAAAGGAATACATTGATTCAACCCTTAATAATGCTCTCTTAAGTGTACCTGACATTTAAAAAATAAATCAGAAATATCCACATAGAAAAAAACATAATTAAATTAGAGTTAAGGCTACCATAACTGTACTGTGCTTGGGGGTTGGGGAGCAAAACAGGCCCCAGCAATACCCACAAAGCCTGATTTAAGGAGTTCTGACTCAGCCCTCTCAATTCCCAGGTCCCTATCTTCCACAATAAATCCACATCATCATTACATGAGTGGAAAAGCAAATTTATTTAATTTGATGCATTTTACTTAGTGTGATTAGGGTCCCAGGGAGCCATGCTGTAGTCACTCACTTAGGATCAACTGCAAAGAATGGGGCAAACAAACCCCAAAGCTGGTGGATATTCCAATACTTAGACTTACCAAGCAAGCACAAAACAGCTTCTGTAATACCTTAGTAGTTACCCAGAAGCCTACAACACAGTTTCCTTTTAAGGAACCCAGCTTCAGGCCTCCACCCAGACACCCAAGTCAAATACAAAAGTTCTACCAATCCCAAAGGATTGGACACGTTACCTCCCAGATTAAGGAATATTTCAGATCTTACCCAAATACATTCTTATAGCCAATTCTTATTAACTAAACTAAAATTTATTAGAAAAGAGAGAGAGAGTAGTGGTTAAAAGCTCAATATACATACAGACAGGAGTATAGTTTCAAGATCAGCTTCATAGTAGAGATGGTAAACTTTGTAGTTGCAAAGAGTTCTTTCAGAATTAGTCCATAGGTTATAGTCCAATGTCCATATTCAGGGTAATCCAGGTGGGACTGGAGATCTCAGCCTTATGATTTAAGCTTCCCCTGCCTGAAGCATCAAGCAGATCTGAGATAAAAAAGGATCAGGACCCAAGGGTTTTTATACAGTTCCAGGCATTCTTTTGGCAGCTCAGAGTCCTTAGGCGTACAATAGGCAATCAGGGAGACTTTGAAGTAGACATATTTCCTAAGCATCACTAGTAACTAGCTACAGGGATTAACATAAGGTAATTTATCCATTAAGCAGTTTATTACAAACTTTAAAGAGACATATAGACAATGACACTATTTCATCCAACATTCATCTAAATGTTAATATTCCCTGTTGATCTCTGAATCAATTGCTATAGTGATAGGAGCTGTCTATTTTCATGGCTGACATCTAACAAAATATAAGTAAACACATACAGTTAGTATCATGTCCAGTCCTCTAACAATACAGGTTTGCATTTCAAAGTTCTAGCCTATCTAACATGGAATGACCCTAATTACCATTCACATATTTTTCTAACATGTCTCTAAAGGTTGACTCTGGGTCATTTAGCCTGTGAGCCACTTAACCCTTTCTATTGGCACCATACTTGACACACTTTGTATAAGATTCATTGCAACTATAGAACAGTGGTAGCAACAATGATTTGCAAGGTCATATTCTAATCAGATAACATCACACTTAGAGATTGGTCCAAGTAGAAAAGAAAGTATTCATATCTGGAGCTTCCAAACTATCAAGATGTTTGGATCCACTTTGTGGTTCAGCATATTATAAAGATAGGAGTATGTGTGATATCCACACCTGAATCCAAGCTTCAATTCTGAAGCCTTCCGAATTCTGATCCAGGGTTTAGGTTCAAGCCTCTCTCTCTCTTTTTTTTTATTTTTTTTAAATACCAGAGTTTACAGAAAGTGTTAACATTATTTAAATGCTACAACTACTATAACCATGTTGAAAAACAAACCTGCATATTATAGGTTAAGAACTTCTGAAAGTACCAGTGCCAGTAATTCAGAGATAATTTGTTAACAAAGAGTAACTGCTTTGCTTGTGCTTTCCCTGACAGTCAAGAGTGCCAAACCATTTTTGAAGAGTGTGATTTTTCTCCTTTATTAAAACATTAAAGGACCTCCACTTCAGATACACAAAAGTGCTCCTTCACACAGACATGAGAGCTAATAGAGGTTTTCAAGCTCATGTAGAGTGTCATTATTTATTCATTCAGGTTTAAAATAATTGGGCAAAAGATCAGCTAGTGTAACTACCCACGTGAGTTTTAAAATAGATCAATTTACTGCAGAATGTGTGGCATTTTGCAAAAGAATACTTTTCACCTAACTCATAGCAGTGTTTTTTCTCCAAGTGCTAGTGCATATATATATATTCTGCTCAGGTATGTGCTTTCCCACTAGAGCCGGAGACTTGTAGATAGGAGTTCCCATTAGGGCGGCACATGTGCTCTGAGAGTCCTCATACCTCTAACCAAGGTCATAAGGGACGGAGCTGCCTGACTTCTCTTTCTCACTGCCTGTGGCTCTCAGTGATGCCTCACGCTCACTGTCTTTCTAGTGCTGGTGAGCACCCTTTTCTTTTAAATAGTCCTAGAGTTGTTAGCTTAGTCTTAGCCCTGGTCTACACTAGGACTTTAGGTCGAATTTAGCAGCGTTAAATCAACGTAAACCTGCACCTGTCCACGCGATGAAGCCCTTTATTTCGACTTAAAGGGCTCTTAAAGTCGATTTCCATACTTGACATTAGCGCTTAAATCGGCCTTGCCGGGTCAAATTTGGGGTACTGTGGACACAATTCGACGATATTGGCCTCCGGGAGCTATCCCAGAGTGCTCCATTGTGACCGCTCTGGACAGCACTCTCAACTCAGATGCACTGGCCAGGTAGACAGGAAAAGAACTGCGAACTTTTGAATCTCATTTCCTGTTTGGCCAGCGTGGCAAGCTGCAGGTGACCATGATGGAGTCCCAGAATTGCAAAAGAGCTCCAGCATGGACTGAACGGGAGGTACGGGATCTGATCGCTGTATGGGGAGAGGAATCCGTGCTATCAGAACTCCGTTCCAGTTTTCGAAATGCCAAAACCTTTGTCAAAATCTCCCAGGGCATGAAGGACAGAGGCCATAACAGGGATCCGAAGCAGTGTCACGTGAAACTTAAGGAGCTGAGGCAAGCCTACCAGAAAACCAGAGGGGCGAACGGCCGCTCTGGGTCAGCGCCCCAAACATGCCGCTTCTATGATGAGCTGCATGCCATTTTAGGGGGTTCAGCCACCACTACCCCAGCCATGTTGTTTGACTCCTTCAATGGAGATGGAGGCAACATGGAAGCAGGTTTTGGGGACGAAGAAGAAGATGATGATGATGAGATTGTAGATAGCTCACAGCAAGCAAGCGGAGAAACTGGTTTTCCCGACAGCCAGGAACTGTTTCTCACCCTGGACCTGGAGCCAGTACCTCCCAAACCCACCCAAGGCTGCCTCCTGGACCCGGCAGGCGGAGAAGGGACCTCTGGTGAGTGTACCTTTTAAAATACTATACATGGTTTAAAAGCAAGCATGTTTAATGATTAATTTGCCCTGGCATTCGTGGCTCTCCTGGATGTACTCCCAAAGCCTTTGCAAAAGGTTTCTGGGGAGGGCAGCCTTATTGCGTCCTTCATGGTAGGACACTTTACCACTCCAGGCCAGTAACACGTACTCAGGAATCATTGTACAACAAAGCATTGCAGTGTATGTTTGCTGGTGTTCAAACAACATCCGTTCTTTATCTCTCTGTGTTATCCTCAGGAGAGTGAGATATCATTCATGGTCTCCTGGTTGAAATAGGGTGCTTTTCTCCAGGGGACATTCAGAGGAGCCCATTCCTGCTGAGCTGTTTGCCTGCGGCTGAACAGAAATGTTCCCCGCTGTTAGCCACGGGGAGGGGGGGAGGGTTGAGGGGTAGCCACGCGGTGGGGGGAGGCAAAATGCAACCTTGTAACGAAAGCACATGTGCTATGTATGTAATGTTAACAGCAAGGTTTACCCTGAAAGACACTGTAAAGACTGTTTTATAAAATGTGTCTTTTTAAATACTGCTGTCCCTTTTTTTTTCTCCACCAGCTGCATGTGTTTCAATGATCACAGGATCTTCTCCTTCCCAGAGGCTAGTGGAGATTAGAAAGAAAAAAAAATGCGCTCGTGATGAAATGTTCTCTGAGCTCATGCTGTCCTCCCACACTGACAGAGCACAGACGAATGCGTGGAGGCAAATAATGTCAGAGTGCAGGAAAGCACAAAATGACCGGGAGGAGAGGTGGCGGGCTGAAGAGAGTAAGTGGCGGCCTGAAGACAGGGCTGAAGCTCAAATGTGGCGGCATTGTGATGAGAGGAGGCAGGATTCAATGCTGAGGCTGCTGCAGGACCAAACCAGTATGCTCCAGTGTATGGTTGAGCTGCAGCAAAGGCAGCTGGAGCACAGACTGCCACTACAGCCCCTGTGTAACCAACCACCCTCCTCCCCAAGTTCCATAGCCTCCACACCCAGACGCCCAAGAACGCGGTGGGGGGGCCACTGGCCAACCAGCCACTCCACCACAGAGGATTTCCCAAAAAAAAGGAGGCTGGCATTCAATAAATTTTAAAGTTGTAAACTTTTAAAGTGCTGTGTGGCATTTTCCTTCCCTCCTCCACCACCCCTCCTGGGCTACCTTGGTAGTCGTCCCCCTATTTGTGTGGTGAATGAATAAAGAATGCATGAATGTGAAGCAACAATGACTTTATTGCCTCTGCAAGCAATGATTAAAGAGAGGAGGGGAGGGTGGTTAGCTTGCAGGGAAGTAGAGTGAACCAAGGGGCGGGGGGTTTCATCAAGGAGAAACAAACAGAACTTTCACACCGTAGCCTGGCCAGTCATGAAACTGGTTTTCAAAGCTTCTCTGATGCGTACCACACCCTCCTGTACTCTTCTAACCGCCCTGGTGTCTGGCTGCGCGTAACCAGCAGCTAGGCGATTTGCCTCAACCTCCCACCCCGCCATAAACGTCTCCCCCTTACTCTCACAGATATTGTGGAGCACACAGCAAGCAGTAATAACAGTGGGAATATTGGTTTTGCTGAGGTCTAAGCGAGTCAGTAAACTGCGCCAGCGTGCCTTTAAACATCCAAATGCACATTCTACCACCATTCTGCACTTGCTCAGTCCTGACTA